CCCGGTCCCTTTTTTGTTTGTCCTTTAGGTTCATTTGGCTTCTTATCAGTTGGAGCCTCCAATTATCTTGGTAGAAATTTGATTTTTTTCCCCGCCTCAGTACACTTCTCGGACAGTAACCTCCAATTATCAAGAAGTAACACTTCTTTGTCGTGTTACTTACGCTAAATCATTTTTTTCCACAAGGACCATCTACTTGCTCCAAACTGCCTCACTTGAAAATTTAGCAGTTCCAAGATTCTTGATGTCTGATCGAGTTGCTATACTAACTTTTTGATGACCGTAATGTTTGCAGGAAGGGCATCCACCATTTTCTTTGAAAGACTTTATGAAGAGCTAGGTGAGCCAATTTTGGAACATGTTTCCACCACTCACAGGAGCAATTACTGCATCTTGAATTCCACTGGCAGCTAGATTCGCATTGTCTACTTTCAGAAAGCAAAAAACGGAACGGCGGATCATGGATTCTATGACGTTTTTAAGACCTCGCGAGTCAGCCTTAGGGCAACTGTGAGACATTAAGTTTTACTAAATACCACGATACCAGTTACGCCATTTGTTTATATTTACTTAAAAGGTCATAAGTGAATGTGTTAGTCAAATTCTCTGTTCAAATGAAAATTCTTATGCTCTCGACATTAGAAGAAGATTAGATCAGGGAGAAAATGTCTTTGATCAAATAGAAGGATAGCTGTATGTCTTTAGTGACTTCTTTTAGCCATTCCTTCTTTACATGAGTGATCAAAACAAGTTGTTTCTCGTAATCAAACTGAAGTGACACTAACTCTTGACCATCAAATAATCACAAGAAAATCCAAATTGTGGCTAACTGGTGGTTTGCCGTCTCCACGACTTTCCATTTTTGGGGCTGCTCCTCAAGCCTTCATCTCTGATCTCTCTCTTTTCTAGAGAAGATTTTCTTTCCTTTTTCAGGCTGTAGTAAGTTTTGGGTGTGTACATAGTACCATGAGTAATGAAGGGGAGTCTTGGCGTAACTGGTAAAGCTGCTGCCATGTGACCAGGAGGTCACGGGTTCAAGCCGTGGAAATAGTCTCGAAATGCAGGGTAAGACTGTGTACAATAGACCCTTGTGATGCGGCCCTTTCCGGGACCCTGCGCATAGCGGGAGCTTTGTGCACCGGGCTATTCTTTTTAAATGATATAATTTAGTCTATCATTTAAATGGTCACTCAACTATTTAAAATTATCTAGTAAAGTTATTTTTTTTTTTGTAACAGAAAAGTGATATAGCTATTTCTATAACACGGTCATTCAACTAGATTTCATAAACTTTCACCGACTAAATATCAATTTTACCCTCTAATAGCATATTTGGCCAAGCTGAAAAAATCAGCTTATTTTGATAAATATTTTTTTCAAAAGTGCTTTTCAAAAAAGTACTTCTGGAGAAAAGCATGGCTAATCAATTTGAGAAATACTTTTTGAACAATAATTTGTGTTTGGCCAAGCTTTCTCAAAAAGTGCTTTTATGTGTCAAATTACAAATAAGGACATGAACAGATTTGCTTAATAGTTAATATTATATAAGTAGATAAATAATTATAAATTTTTATTATTAAAGATAATAATTAAGTTTTTTATTTTATTTAAGTAAAATATAAAAATAAAATTGAAAAGTACTTTATTCTTTCAAGATAATTTAAATATATCAAAAATCATCCAATAAATATGAAAGTTCATCCCAAAAGTCATTTTATATTACTTAATAGTTTAAACTAAGTAAGGTTATTTTGGTATATATAATATTTTGCAAAGGGTATTTTTGGTAGGAAGAAAAGTCAAAACTGCTTCTGCTTCTGGGGAGAAGCTACTTTTTTCTGCTTCTTCAAAACTGCTTTAGCTTCTAGCCAAAAGCACTTTTTTTTCAAAAAAATGCTTGGCCAAACACCTCAAATTGAGGAAAAAAACACTTTTGGCATGATGAGAAGCTTGGCCAAACAAGCTATAAATAATAAACCTTTATCTGTTTTATATTTTTTAATATTATAATTTTTTCACTTTTTACTCTATATTATGGACTTACATGTAGAATAAATAATTTTTTTATATAAAGAAAAAAAGAAAAAAAACGGTTTTCAAACATATATGATGTTGGAATAAAATAATTAAGCAAAGTTCTGAAGCAGATATAATATGTTTTATAAATATTTTTTTTATCTTAAATAATTATTTTTTATATTACATACGTGAGATATATTCATTCGCGATTTTGTAAATAAATTGTGAGTTTTATTGTTATTTTCAAGATTATTGATGGGATAAATTCTTCTAGTTAAATTTTTTACTGTGCTTGATTATTTTATTCATCGATTTATGTACTTAAACTCTTATTTTATAATTTAGATATAATTTTTAATATAATATTTATGTGATTTAAAAAAATATAGTTTAAATAGAGGGATGAAGGAATTGAGTAAGTTTTAATAGCATTTGACTGATTGAGCCAAATAATTGTAAAATTAGTAGCCTGTTATAAAATATAGCTCAAAGTAATAATTTAGAACAAGGAAAAACAAGCTAAGAGATATATAGAGAAAGAGAGGAGAGATTCTTATTTCTTGTTCAATTGTGTGTATTTTTCTATCTATTACAAGACCTTTATATAGGCATGAAAAGTGAAGAAAAATATGTCATTGAATATGTAATTAAGCATTTGAGAAGATCATGGAGGAAGAGTAGACATCCACTATAATTTGATTTTTCTTGTAACACTCTCCCCTTGGATGTCCATAGATAATGTGCCTCGTTAAAACCTTATTAGGAAAAAACCCTATGGGAAAAAAATCCTAGTGAAGGAAAAAGAGTACACATGTTTAGAAATACGCCTTTTGGTTGCCTCGTTAAAAACCTTGCAAGGAAAACCCAGTGGGACAAAACCTTATAAGGGAAAAAGAGTACAACGCATATTAACTCTCCCCGATGAGAGTAACAATTCACATCCTTGAGCCTTCGCATCCCAATCTTGTACCCTAATTTCTTGAAGGTTGACGTCGGTAGAGATTTGGTGAACAAATCAACCATATTATCACTCGAACAGATCTGTTGCACATTGATATCACCATTCTTTTGAAGATCATGTGTGAAAAATAACTTT